TACTAAAATTTAAAGACACATGTTTATTATATATATATATATATATATATATATATATATATATATATATATATATATATATATATAAAAATGTCTGTTTATTTTTTTTTTCTTCTGTTTATTTCTTAAGAAAATTGTAAATAATAAAATAAAAATATCAACCGCCTTGAACTTTTGGTTGCATTTAATCTAATTTTTTGGGGTGAATACTTACTACCTAAATATTCATATATATATATATATATATATATATATATATATATATATATATATATATGTGTGTGTGTGTGTGTGTGTGTGTGTGTGTAAGTTCATTTTGATACATTATCTTTTAGGATCATTCTAGTGCAATTGTTGGTTCTGACTTGTATGATGAAAATGTCCCAACACATGTCCGTATTGATATTATATATTTATAATTGTAATAGCAATGCACAAATATTTCGCTCTGGACAAATACATGTTAGGAATGTAATATATCGGGGCCATGCAAAGTTCTCCTTATATCAATCAAAAGAAAAAAAAAGAACCCCCACCAAATAAAACCACTTCGCAAAATGCTCGACTGCAAACTTTTTACATATCTGTTTGTTTTTTTACAACTTATTAGCTTGCTAAAGCAGGTCTTTCCCTGCTTTTGATCTTACTATTAATTTTGTTCCATTACAAGAATCTTACACATATAACTGGACATTACTTCACAACACACGTCTCTATAACTGATGAATATTAAAAGATAGCTGCAGAGCTAGATGCGAACACATATTAACAGTGTGTATGTGTTGGTCGTGTATTTTTTCCCTGCTTCCATTAGGGAGGCACATATCCCTAGGTACAAACTGCACTACAAAGACCGCATTTCCTTCTCTATCTTAATAAAACGACCATACATTATTGTAGATCATCTTACACAAAAGACACATGTAAACAACATACTTATTATATATATATATATATATATATATATATATATATATATATATATATATATATATAATTGTGTATTTGGGCAGCAATCCTCTTTTATACAAGTTTCATTAAAGACGATTGATAAGGTACTGCAAATTAGGTTTTTATTCCAGTTTTTTGTGTTCGTATATGTTTTCTTTTCTGTATATAAAGTGTGTAAATATTGACGAACGTTGTATATATCTTTTGGCTGTTATATATATATATATATATATATATATATATATATATATATATATATATATAAATATGGAAGTTTTTTCATTTTTATTTCCAATGTATCTAGAGTTATAGGAATGTATTTTTTATTTTCTAATCACAGTCAGCACATTTTTACCATGTTCTTGGTTGCTGTCATTGATTGCTGGCTTTTTGTTTTATATTATCAATGCGTCCCTTATTTTTATACGTTTTTTTACATGTGAATAAGGCTATTACAGTTGTATTTTCTCCGAGTATGTTATGGTCGTGTTTTCATTCGAATTCTTTCAACCGTCTGTTTGACAGTCATTATCAAAAACAAAACAAACGGTTGAATTTAATAAAGTACACACACACAAACACACACACAGATATATATATATATATATATATATATATATATAATATATAATAGCCAATCCTGTTCGAGGATATCCGTCTACTAGGGCGGTTAGCCAATCCCTATTGCAGACGCCCGCTCAAGCACATTTGTATTTATTCAACACCACAGAACCTACCTGTGGTTTATACTGCAACTATGCTGAGCAGACCTTAGTTACAGTTTCTGGGAGAGAGTGTGTTATCTAGCATGTCCAACAATATGAAAAACGCCAGCACACTCGGTCACGATGACTTCTGACTTCGTGCTAGCAAATGTCCCTATACAATTTCACTCACAATGCTTGGATCAACCCGTGGTATGTCTTTCTTGGATCGTCCCTATCCAGATAATATCAGGAAGACTCCGACCTGACAAACCAACCATGGTGCGATTTGAACCCGTGTCTCATAGTCAGAAAGAGAAAGTTATATAACTATATTTTTTTTCTACAGGTCTATGTACTCGAGAAATCCTGTTGAGGACATGCTCTATTTATTGAGTTTTTTTTTCTCGAGAATGAAGACAGGCAAACGATCTATGTACTGTTTGAAATAAAATAAACGGAGCGTCTATTCAAATACGGTTATCCACTAAAAATAAGAATGTCGGATTGAAAAATAAAATCTATAACTTCTCTCTCTCTCTCTCTCTCTCTATATATATATATATATATATATATATATATATATATATATAAGCTAGTCCAGGATTTGTTTTCATTTTTAAAAACTAGAAGATTAATAGAATACCACCATCTCACACTATACGTCTTAGCCAAAATACAAAAAAAAAACAACAAGATACATATCAGCCCCATTGTACCCATGGTATCCGGAATCAACTGTGCACCCACAAATAAGCTAAATTATTGCAAATACAAACACACACACACACACACACACACACACACACACACACACACATATATATATATATATATATATATATATATATATATATATATATATATATATATAATTCCACATAGAGTATGTCTGTAAAAGGACAATGGGAATTAAGCATAATGGAAAACGTATCTTACATGACGCGTTTCGTCCTCTGGGTGACTTTATCAAGGCAAATGTAAGTATTTTATTTGGTGACAAGTAATTATATACAGGAGCAATGAATGTCGCTGACTTTTCCGTTAACCTGATGAATATTCATGGGTACTCCTATACTGAAAACTTTTGAAAAAACAATAAAAATCTTTGCTCTTCTTTACAAAATAAAATGCTTACATTTGACTTGATAAAGTCCCGTAGAGGACGAAATGCGCCGTGTAAGACAAATCACATATATGTTGCCATATCTGGTCTGGTGCTTCTGAATTGTACTTCACCCTTAAATATGATACAACTATAAAATGTGCGGGAAACTCGTCATACACATTAGATATACGTAATAAGATGCTCACAGCCCACCCCGGCAGGTCCCACTAAATCTAAATGACAAAATATCTCATTTAAATTTTTAATAATTCTGTCTCCCTGAGAGCGACAACGTTTTCTGCAAACCATTATATATATATCTATTTTTGAAACATGGTTGGAACTGTGTAGCGAAAATAACCATATTTTAAATCAATTAATTTATATAATATATATATATATATATATATATATATATATATATATATATATATATATATATGCGCCATTGTTGTGCGCACATGAAAAAAAAGAAATGTTTCTTATGTGATTTTACCAAGTGTACAGGTTTGTTTCCTCACGATAGTACTTCAAACTATTACTTTTGATGACAGACGAGAATATATAAAAGTGTTATTCCTGTCATCTTTCATTCAAGCCAGGGAAATAATAGTATTACTTGCGAGATACGTATACAACTCATACAATCATTAAACACAAGTAATACATTCATAAGAAAAGGATAATATGTCAAATGGAAAGTTCAATGCATTTTCTGAGTCAATAAGGCATATTTGGAAATGCCCACTTTCTCTGTCATAAACGTACCATATAATATATATATATATATATATATATATATATATATATATATATATATATATATATATATATATATATATATATAATTGTTTATTTGTGCAGTAATCAACCTTTCATACAAGTTTCATCAGTCAGTTGCTTTCCTATTTCACAGAATGCTAACGTGCAATGACTGTCGTCGCATCTGTCATGGTAGAGCAAGTCTCAAAAATCATCATCGCACATTGAGATCCCATCCAAATATAAAGTCAAACCTATTGCAAGAATCAGAGACACTAGCGAATAAGGTCTCTGGAACTTTATCTGATGAAAGTGTCTTACCGGTTGGTGCGTATGGCTGGCTGAATCCTTCAAAGGCATTACGATGAATCACAACTGTACCAAAGACACTAGCGAATAAGATCTCTGGAACTTTATCTGGTGAAAGGGTCTTAAAAAATGCAAACCATTGGCCAGGCTTTAAAGTTAATGGCTGTATTCGTGGAACCAGTGAATCTTTCCGAGGTTGTGCGATGGCTATGCTCAGTAGCAAGATGTCGACCATCATACATATAATAAAATATATCCATCAAGTTTTATTCCGACTTGTCAAATTTTCTGGTTGTGCTTTTATGGACGTAACTATCTAAGTATATGTACATCCGTTTAGTTACCGATATATATATATATATATATATATATATATATATATATATATATATATATATATATATATATATATATTAGTCAGCACCTGCTCGCATCCGTGCAGCGGGATCATCATGCTTATTTATTTTCTTTATCCCCTCCGGTGGTGGTGGATTGCGGAGATGATTCTGAAGGGCCAACGTACTCTTGAAATGTCGGAGTGTGTGTGGTGGACACGACTGGGTGAGTCTGGCCCTCTGAAACCAAATTGAATATCCTCTTCATGTTTACGCGTAGACTCGAAAGTCAGCCCCGGCCTCGGATGGTCCTAAGCCAGGAAGTCCGATTTGCAACAACGGTTTCCCAGGTCTCAGGATCGATGTTGGCCTGCCTCAGGGATGTTTTTAACTGATCCTTGAAGCCTCCTTTTGGTCCTCAGTGTAACCTCTTACCGCTACTGAGTTCTCCAATTAGGATGATAACACGGGCGTCCAGTGGGACGGATTCTGGACATGTGGTGTATATATATATATATATATATATATATATATATATATATATATATATATATATATGAAAATGTCATCAATATATATTGTGGATTTGATTCGACGCTCTATAATCTTTCAAGTTTATACTGCTGTATATAACTTATCTGAAACTCTAAATATACTGATCCAAACATACATATCTAATAAATACAATGTTATTTCCACCAATTATATTCTTACATTCTAATGAACTTAACAACGGTATCCTAGCCTTGTTAGATGTTGAAAGTTTATTTAGTAATGCTCCTCTGAAAAAAAACTATAGAAATTGTTATGCAAAATTTATACAATCACCCTAGTTTCACACCTGCTAATATTAGACCAAATATTTTACGTAAACTCCTACTGTCTTGCACCACACAAGTACCATTTTACAAACACTATGGTAACATTTACACGGAGACTGATGGCCTAACAATGGGCTCTCCTCTTGGTCCTATTTTTTCTAATTTCTACTGGAATAATATCGAAAACAATGTCCTTATAAATAATATATATATATATATATATATATATATATATATATATATATATGCGAACAACCTGCACATAATTTGTTTAAAGTGTTCATTGCAAACTCTGTCCATCAAATCACCATAGCCTGTATTGCTGTACGGTTTGTTTAAAATTTTCCTAGGAAGATGTCCTAATAAGGACTCTCTCTCTCTCTCTCTCTCTCTCTCTCTCTCTCTCTCTCTCTCTCTCTCTCTCTCTCTCTCCCTCAGGGTTTAATCGCGCGCTCGACCAACAACCCAGGTGTTTCTATGTCCCCGAGGATATATATATATATATATATATATATATATATATATCTGCGGGATATATCATGTTTTATAATAATATATATATATATATATATATATATATATAGGATATTATTTATTTTAGGATATTGCGCCGAAAACATGTCAAAATCGCCACACAATTACAGTCGTGTTTCGATACGTATCAATTCATCTCATCAGGTGATTGTAAAATTTAAAACGTTCACTCACCAGTAATTTACAATCGTCTGATGAGGTGCATTGATACGCATTGTAACACAACGGTAATTGTGTAGCGATTTTGACCATGTTTTCGGTGCAATATTCTAAAATAAATAATATTGCTCTACTTTGTATTGAGCCCTGTTTTAAATTAAATGTTACGAACGTTGGAATTGTACTGTATTCCTTCTCATCTTACATGTATATATATATATATATATATATATATATATATATATATATATATATATATAGTAAGTAATAAGTCTCTAATTTTTCATAGCTCATAAGACATTCCGTAATAAACTTGGTTGTAAATCATTGTATTATAATTCATTTTATTGCATCATTGCATGCAAATCCTACACACAATATAATATGAAGGTTTTTAAAGAAATATGCCTAGTATTGAAATAAGTTGTATTTCATTTAACCAATATCCATTCAGATTGCCTACTTTCACTCCCCAGTGCCTGTTGTCCTATACGTATAAATATATACAAAGACATTAGTTTTGAGAGTTGGTACACTAATATTTATAAATATATACATATAATAAATAGTTTTATATATCTATGTGTTTACTGATGTGTGACATCTATCAATTTTTCTCTAAATATACGATCTCAAATCTATCGTTCATCGATATACTTACATAAGTAAAAAGCTACTAATCAATAAAAACAGACTGGTAATACCTATATGCATATAAACCTATTTTGAGTTATTTAGGAATATATGTTTGCGTTCTGAGAATTTAAAAATATTTTCAGATGTGACTTCCTGGATTATAACTGCTTTTTCTTAATTATTGGCTGTTTTAACTTTATATGAAAAGCCTCGAAAATTTGTAATCATATTTTTCTGTTTGCAAAGGTATTATCAGCGGGAGATGTAATGTTTGTGCATCAGTATGATGCATTGCCGTATTGTGATTTTGTCAAATATGACAAGCGTATCAACGGTAAATGGTTACAGTACATGATGCAATAACACAAGAATTATAATACCATAAGACATGTTCTTTGAACTTTTATATTCTATTATATATATACTATCCGTATAGCCCGTCTTTGACCGGGTCTTTCATTACTGGGAATTTTTGCAGTTTCAACTGGAGCAGTTTAAAGTCAGCCCACCCGAAAATAACTATTAGAGAAACATTTGGGTTCAACTGGATAGTACTTTCAATCTCCTTCGAGATCATCCACAGGGTTGAATTGCGAATACAAACTTAATGTAACTGTGATCGTTGCGATGGTGATTTTTTTGTAAACACGCGTGAACGCGCTCTGTTATAATTATTTTTAATTTTTTTTAATTTATCCGTTGTAGCTATAGTGATTGTTGTAAAAAAAAGCGTCCATAAAGGAAAGTACTTGGGTTAACAAGTACTTGCGTTAACATTCTACGGAGCCATCTTCAGCTTAACATCACGTGGCTAATGAGAGACCTAGAAAGGATTATAAAAATAGACATGATATATCAATATTATTTAATGAAATATGCTTGAATGCAGATATGCTGATTAAATAGTATAAAGCATCAGGCATTTTGCCAAACAAGATTTATTAAATTCTACAGATAATTCCGTTTATTTTACTTTTCATTGTATTTAAAAATAAAAAAAATTATAACTTTTAATTAGGATGCATATAAAAATCTAAATAATAGCGAAGTGTTCATGTTTGTACAGTTGTTTTTATTCAAGTACTTTCGAATGCCTCAGTCATTATCAAGAACCAGGTTTTGTCACTGTGGTAGGCAAGTTTCCACAGGCGACATCTTGATATTTTATACAAAACTGAATGCTTGTATAGGTCTACATATATATATATCTATAATCTTATTGGTCAATATATATATATATATATATATATATATATATATATATATATATAGATGTATGTATGTATGTATGTATATAAATTTCCAAGAGGATACAATCCAGTAAGAACTCAATGTCCAGGACAGAGTAAGAATATAATATAAAAGACTCAAACACTAATATTCTATGGTTATAATTTATTACATTGAATTCTAATCACGATCCAATTCATCAGACTACAAATTCATATATATATATATATATATATATATATATATATATATATATATATATATATATATGTATGTATGTATGTATGTATGTATTTGAGACTATGAATATGTTATAACAGCATACATAAATATCTAAAGATAAAAAAATATCTCTATGAAAAACGAAAATATAAATTTAATATATATAACTGGTATAGATATAAGTGTGGGTATAAACTAAATAACGAGATATTTGAAACTGTATATGCGTGCGACAGCAAATAGATATTTACTTAATTTATGGTGTAAATAAAACTGTGCTCAATGTAGTAAAACAGAGCTATAAAGTATATATAAGTAAATACAATATACCTACGTTCGCAACTTTTTTATATATATATATATATATATATATATATATATATATATATATATATATATATATATATATATATACGTGTGTGTGTGTGTATGTGTGTATTACCTGAAAAATGATCCCGAATGAGATTGACATCGAATGTACTTGGGAAAATAAACATGAAAATAAAAGAAAAACCAACTATAAGGCATTCCTTAGTGAATTTAATATCAACAGTGAGTAATCTATAAGAGAATTCGAGAGGATCAAAATAAAAATAGACAATTATTCAACCAAACATGCTTGAATGAAAATATATATATATATATATATATATATATTAATGGGTTTACAGGATTGTGACTTATCTACGTTCTCGTAAAATACCAGCTCAAATGTTTTCATGTATTGATATCCATGTTATGCCAGCATCATCAGCATCGTTACGATTTGGTTGAATCGCGTCCAAAAATTCAAAGAGTATCCAGCCGTAGATATTACTTTGGTAATGTTTGTATCGGTCGATTTGGGCTTCCTCTCTAGACCTGTGTGCGAGTAATTGTCTAAGCGTACGTTGTCGACTGGAAGTAGAGAATACAGTAGGCTAGGGAAGGAAGGAAGGAAAACGAAAAGGGCGGGCAGAGAAAGGAAAAGGAAGAGTAAGGTATTTAGAGGAAGCAGCGTTTTTTTTTTTTTGTTTTTTTTTGTTTTTTATTTGAGGTGGAGGGTTCATGTGTTGAGTGGGGGGTTGTGAAAGGGGTAGTGGGAGGGAGTTAGAAAGGGTTGAACCGTTGAGATGTCTTTAGTTGAATAATAACGCACGAGTGTCGGAAGTGGATGGCCAGTAACATATATTGAACCGAAATTCAGTTACTGTCTTGCTGCATTGCCCAGAAATCGAACTAGTGATGGCTATGTTCTAAATCCACTGCAACAAGAACCCCACGAAGACAAACCCCACCACCTCGGAATTTTTTCACAGTCTGCCGAGAGTATGTGCTTTATTACTATTTATTCTTTGAAATGTTAACATTATCGCAACAATGTCTTTTTTCTGTCTGTCTGTCTGTCTGTCTGTCTGTCTGTCTCTCTCTCTCTATATATATATATATATATATATATATATATATATATACATGCACGAATATATATATCTATATACACACATACACACACACACACACACATATATATATATATATATATATATATATATATATATATATATATATATATATATATATATACACCCAAACGAATATATATCTACATACACACGCGCAAACATGGGGCGCCCAAAGGCGGTGTAATGGTTAGCAAACTCGCTAGAACAATTACGACTGAGTAGTGAGTTCGATCCTCACTGGGTGCCCCATAATTTCGGCCTTGTGCCACATCTAAGCTACGCTTGGAAAATCACTACACACACACACACATATATATATATATATATATATATATATATATATATATATATATATATATATATATATACGTAACGATGGGGAAAACTTCTCGACACAACAAATTTCACAAAATCAATATTTCAAATAAGAAATACAAGAATATTTATTTTAAGAAGTGCGTCGCACGGGGACATTTTCAGCAACCTCTAGAACATATGTGCACGTGTATACATATATATATATATATATATATATATATATATATATATATATATAAACGCATTTGTGTATGCACACATACATACACATTTATATATAGTTTGAAAGTACAAAATTATATATATATATATGTATGCATGTATTGTGCAAAATAAATTATATATACGGGAAGAGTACTTAATATCGTACAAAGAGATTTTATAGATTTAGTCAGAGTGGACATAGGAATCAACATTAAGGTGGTAAATTTTTCACGCCTCAGGCGATTTTGAGACCATTATATATGTAACTAAATATATAGATATGCATATATATGAGTATGTTTGTATGTACATATATATATATATATATATATATATATATATATATATATATATGATGTATATTAATCTATTAAAATATTACATTCAGATTAAAATTACCACCTACCTATATGCTGTAATGATTACTTTTGTGTCATATGTTATTCCTTGATTTCTTACAAAAATTAAATTCGAAAAATATATATATATATATATATATATATATATATATATATATATATATATATATATATAATATATTATCGCATTACCCGACTGCTATTTATATATCTTCCGGGTAATAGGCGATGTGTTGTCCCGCTTGTAATCTTAACGGTCAATAGAAGCGAGCGCGTATGTGTCTGTTTGTTAGCCGGTGCGTCTGTTTGCGTGTGCATGTGTGTGTTTATGTTTATACGGTTGTGCATATGCATATAACTACTTTATCTCCATCTGCTTATATTGATCTGTCTGTAAATGTTTATATATATATATATATATATATATATATATATATATATATATAAATCAGCATATTAACACATCCACACATGTGCTCAAAGTCTTTTTTTTGCATATTCTTCCTTGTCAATGCACTTAATTCAACGCTTCTTCATTAATCCCCGAGAGCAAATACTCTGTAACTAATTTTATAGAGGAAAACTTTGCTAGCGTCAATAAATGAGTGAAGCTATCTCTTCGTGAGCCAATATTTTTCCTATCTCTCTTTCACCGTTCCTTTCTCTCTCTCTCTCTCTCTCTGTCTTTCACCCTTTCTCTCTCTCTCTCTCTCTGTCTTTCACCCTTTCTCTCTCTCTCTAACTCTCTGTCTTTCACCCTTTCTCTCTCTCTCTGTCTTTCACCCTTTCTCTCTCTCTCTCTGCCTTTCACCCTCTCTCTCTCTCTCTCTCTCTCTCTATATATATATATATATATATATATATATATATATATATATATTATGTTTCAAGTGTTTCAGAATGTAATCGAAGTTGCTCTCCACAGCTTCCTATTTGTGAAATATTGACTTTTTAACGTACATCTTTGTCTTTAATGGTTGCTTGTCGTTTCTTGTTGCTATTTTCACCTTCAATATGTATCCCAAAAATTTCGTTTGTCTCTTTCTGATTGTAAGTATACGCTTCATTATTGTTCGTATTTCCTCTGACCACATCGTTGCACACGTGTTCACAAATTATGCTTAAAGAGGATTAGCGCCAATATTCAGGTAGGAAAGAAAGAACACCTCGTATAATTATATTATGACGAAATCTTTTCAAACTGGTCGACAACAAAGCTTTTCACATCTTGAATGTATCACTACTCTCACAAGATCACACTTCCTAAATTTTGTGCGCTTACAAAACAAATTCAAACCGATTTATCTGATATTAGGAAATCTAACGCTGATTAAACAACTAATTTTTAAGTTTTTCGTCTAAATTGATTTTCTCAAATATCAACACTGAAGACATATATATATATCCTTCCTCTTGGAAAATTTTTTTCTGAAAATATACATGTATGGGAATTTTTTAGATATATTTTTCATATGTATGTATATTTTCCACTAATATTATCTATCTATATATATATATATATATATATATATATGCGCGTATGTGTAAGTATGTGTGTATGTGCGTGTGTACAAGTTTCGTTAAAAACGACTGACAAGGTACAAGTTTTTATTTTAGTTTGTATCGTGTTCTTATAATTTCTTTCTTTCCTGGACATAAATAATGTAGAAATTGTCCGAATATCCAGTATGTCCGAGCGCTTTCGTCTATACTTTTAGCAATTATCAAGGATAATTTTATTTTTACTTTTAACTGAATGTAGTCAGTCTTTATGTATGTATATAGAGTTATAGGAATGTTTTATGTGGCTTATGCATTAACTTGTCAATCGTTTTTAACGTAACTTGTATAAGAGAGAGATTGCTGCCCAAATACTATATATATATATATATATATATATAGAGAGAGAGAGAGAGAGAGAGAGAAGGACAGAGAGAGAGAGGGAGAGAGTTAGTGCGGATACAGTAATCAACACGGTAAAACAAATATCGGATCGAGGCATGAAACCGACAGTCAACATGCAGTGTTCATATGTATGTCAACACTGATATAGTCTATAAAAGCTCCGATATTGAGCACTCTTCCCCTATAAATATAGCAAATCTTAAATCACACACACACACACACACACACACACACACACACACACACACACACATATATATATATATATATATATATATATATATATATATATATATATATATATGTATGAAAACAGACTGTCCTTCACGGAGTTCACCTCACTATCCACTTTTATATTTATATATGCTTTATCCCCCATATTGAGATATTTTCTCATATACCATACCTTAAAACTATATTTTAATTATATATATATATATATATATATGTGTGTGTGTGTGTGTGTGTGTGTGTGTGTGTGTGTGTGTGTGTGTGTATTTATGTATGGCTTGAAGACTGCGTTCAGACACGTATTTGAATGTTGCTTTTCTTAAATCATGTATCGTTTTAAAATGACACTCGTCAAATTGATTTTTGTTATTTACAATAATGAATGATTGACAACAAGTCAGTTGGTTTGTTTAAGAGGATTATTTAATGTTGAAATCATTTAAAGCCTAGGAAATTGATTGTCTTTTTTCGGACAACGAAAATAAAATATAAATAAAAAAAAAAGACGATTAAAATAGAAATATTAAAAGAAATGCAAATGACCTTTTTTGAATATTCAACTTATATACGCATATATTTTGGACAAAACATTTATCCGGATTGGTTTTTCGTCATTTCTTACACATTTTTAAATATTCCTAGAACAAAAGCAACATTATTACTTGAATGAAGACGACAATGATGAATCTATAAGGAAAAAGGTTTTACATTATCATAAATAAACAACAAAATTTTAAAATGATAAATAATTGAAAAAAGAAAACAATATTCAGATATAAAATTATCTCCCTTTAAATTTCTAACTATCTGTAGAATGAACCATTCGACGAAGTTAAGATTCAATCTAACGCTTTCAGTGGAACCAATATTTGGCCAAATGGTATATATACAATTAGAAGAAAGGGTCCACGTGTGCTTCTTATAGTATGTAAAATCGATAGGTTAGTTAATTAAACAAGGACAAACGAAAGTGTACCTATATAATCAGTAGGAAAAAACATTTATTAATTATTAATTATTAACCATATGACAGAAATGAAGCATGGAAAAAAAGCTTTTAAGTCTGGAATTTTCGGACACGCCTGTGTCTTTTATCAACGGATAAATGCGAATTATTATGTTTATGTAGACGGTGTATTTTCTGGTCGAAATCGTATTATTAGCAAATCCCGATCTGTTTGATTCGTTGCTGTGCGAAACTTTTTTATGAAAATAAACTTAAATTTAAAACATTGATCTGTGTAAGAGCGTTAGGCCTGTCTATTATTAGTAGTAGGGGTAGTGGGAGAATAAGATTGTAAACATAGATGAAGAGAGTTATAGGTTTCGGAGTGGGGAAGACGTCTCGCGTGTAGCCAGTGTAGCTGAAAATTATCAATTTCAGAAAAACGGGCTGTAGTTAGGATAACTTGTCCATTTCCAAAAGACAGGCTGTAGGTATAGCATCTGACAAGACAAAAAAATGAGAAGGAACAAAGGAATATATAGTAATAAAATATAATTAAATGAAATAAAATGAAAAGAAGGAAGAAAAAGATAAAACTATGGTTTACTATATATATATATATATATATATATACACACACATATATATATATATATATATATATGTGTGTGTGTGTGTGTGTGTGTGTGTGTGTGTGTGTGTGTGTGTGTGTGTGAAAATATATAGAAAATAGGAAGGAACTGGTTAGGTAAATAATCCAAAGTTCCTTAGTATTTTAGTTATTATTTTTAAAAATAGTGCTCGACTCTTATGTCGCGAGTTGGAATCATATTTTTTTAAATAAATAATTATATATATATATATATATATATATATATATATATATATATATACAATATTTTAATCATGTATGGTTCTGTTTAGGCCAGAGTATAATTGCTTCGTCTTCTGATACAGAAGACGAAGCTAGTACAGAATCTTTTCCACTTTCTTTCGGTAACGTGTTTATGCCATTCACCCATTAAACAGCCTGGTAATGAGGGAATCCTTATTGCTGGGATTCCAACTCAAATGTCAGCACCTCATTGCAGCAAATTTGGGTCGAATCTGCATGACAGTGTCTGTATAGCTTGAATAATTTTTCTCCTTGTTCTGTTTTTACTCGTATGGGAATCCCACAAGAAACCGACAACGTGACACCTACTACCAAGGTAGGTAGGTAGGTAGGTTCAGTATGTAGTACCTGTGAAGAGTCTTCCAGAAAGTAAAAATATATCGGTACATATAAATTGCGGGTTCTAAACCCGGACTTGTGCCACATCTACCCTCGTTGGGGGTGGGGTGGGGCTAGTAAATACAGACTAGCTGCGATCTGTTCCAGCTAGACGATCGAACTCTCTGTCTTCGGGCTGAGAGGAACCCGGACGAAGCTCTGCCGAAGGGCAGAGTCTCGTTCGGGGAGGTAGACTGATCCTGAACCCGTTTTACGGTTTCGAAAGGAAATATTTTTGGCCGAGCGTACGGGCTTGGAAGACCCACGTAAAACACGGCCTTGTGCCACATATACCCTTTGTTTCTAGTAAATACAGGCTAACTGGGATCTATTCCAGCTAGGCGGTCGAACTCTCTACCTTCGGGCAGAGAGGAACCCGGACAAGGCTATGCCGAAGGGCAGAGCTTCGTTCGTTTACGCGGGTTCCACGGGGATATGTTAACAGAGTCTACGGGCTCGGAAGACCCACGTTAAACTCGGCCTTGTGCCACATCTACACTCGTTGGGGGGGTGATACTAAATATGTCAATATTTAGTATCACCCCCCCAACGAGTGTAGATGGGATCTGTTCCAGCTGTGCTGATCAAACTATCTGCCTCCGAGAGATGATCCCCAGACGAGGCTATGCCGAAAGGCAGGGTCTCGTCTCGAGAAACAGCTACCCGACACCGACGGGGACTACGGGGAATTTTTTGGCCGAGCCTACGGGCTCGGATTACTCCACATTAAACTTGGCCTTGTGCCGCATCCTACCTCGTGGGGATGGCTGATAAATATCGACTAGCTGGGATCTGTTAAGAACTACCGACCTTCTAATAGTAGCACACACTAATGGATTGACTTGCGACGACCTTGTGCATTACTATTACCTTTATTCTTATTGTACTGATTTTGTACAATAAACCTTTACTTATTTAATCCACCTTGTTTTTCAAGTATATTTTCCTATTAGCACGGAATATAACACCAATAAAAAAAAAAGAACACAAGTGCGCTGACACGATCTCTCTCTTTGCGAAGAAACAATATTTGAAAATGATGAAAACTGACATAGCAAAAATAGAAAAAGTCTGAATGACTTAGGAAAATCAGAAAAATACAGTAACTGAAAAGAATTTGCAATGTTATTGGTTCTGATCTGGCATCTCGGCTTCAGTCATTTTCGCATCGCCGTAACGGAGTTACTCTGTGCATTTGCTATAAATACTTTCGTGGTATTTGTTCCTGTGAACTTTCCTCTATAGTACCTAGACTTTATGAATTGAAACGCATTACTAGATTGGCGACAAAGTCTCATAGATAGACTGTTGAAATGGACAAATATAACCATTTAGTTCAATGCTAACAGATTCTTCTCCCGCACTTCTTGCTTGTGGCACTATCTTCCGGTTTATTGCTCTCCAGCTAAGTTTGGTCTTCAAAAACTTAAATGCAACGTCAGTCATTATCTTTTGTCGTCTTAGTTTCTGTTCTTTTATTGTACTTGCCTCTTAATAATGCTTTCCTTATATCATTCATAGACAAGTAAACCCCTGCGTCTTAGTGGCTTTGTTGCCTTGTTTGGGATAAAAAGATTTTTTAAATGATATGGGACAATTTATACTGAAATATATTGAAAACTAACTTCTTGTTACAATCGGGGTTGAAAAACCACATTAGAAATCTCGTGCGAGGATATGAGATTAAATATGAAGGAAGGTACTCTAATCAGGAGGACTTTATTTGTAACTTGTTTCTTAAGCAATATAAGCCCAATATATATATATATATATATACATATATATATATATATATATATATATATATATATGTGTGTGTGTATATATATATCAAGGTCGAATTTACTGTTTATAAGCAGTAAATTCGACCTTGTCTACCGAACGCTTCATTGTGGCCGATCGGTAAGGCACGTCAGCGTATATATATATATATATATATATATATATATATGATAAAAAATATATTATAAGAATATGATATGGCCTGAAAATTGCGTTCAAGCATGAAACCGACTGTCACCACTCAGTGTGCACGATATATATATAATAAATAAATGTTGTTTAGTAGTGTTTATTATAAACAGAGCATTTACTTAAATATTTGTATCTATAAAAAGAGTGTATAAACATAAAAATGGCTTAATATATATATATATATATATATATATAATTATTTTAAAAAATATGATTCCATCGCTACATAAGAGTTCTCATGTTTCAAAAATAGAAGCTAAAAAACCAGCTCTGTTTCATATCCTCAAGCGAATTTTGAATAGAAAAATACTAAAGGCCTTTGGATTATTGACCTAACGGTTCTTTCCTATTTTTCTATATATTTGTACGCACGCACACACACACACACACACACACACACACACATATATATATATATATATATATATATATAAGAAGTAATCATACAAAGAATAAATCAGTAAGGTAATGAAATTAATAGCGGATTCACTTCACTAACAGTTTAATAATGCATTAACCTACTAACCCCTCCTTTAATGATGCGATGCTTCTTTTAAAAATTATAAAATGGATTAGATATTCTGTATTTTCCATAAATATATTAATACTTTCGACAATTCCTGTTATGAGCATATTATATATATATATATATATATATATATATATATATATATATATATATATATATATATATACTGGAATATTGCAAAGTTTTTTTAACTGAATTAATTTCCAAAAGTGACAAATCATGACACATTTTAAAATTTCTTCTTGGTCAATGCAAGAAATTTACCAGCAATCCCTCTTCAGCACGTATGTATTTATTTGTGCCTGTTCGTGTATATGCGTGTATATATTTGTTAAATTAAACTAATTTTGGCTTCAAATTTTACATTTCTTCAAACCACGCAATACCCAAGCAAATTTCTATTTTTTTTACTTTTAAGTACTTGTAAAATCCATGATTTTAAACAGTTTATAAATCTACGGTAATTTGACCTTGCAATAATCTGAGCACATTGTTATTTTGTTGTATTTTGTTGTTGTTTTTTGAAAGATTTTAAATATCATTTTATTAAAATAGTTTTAAATCAAGTGGTTCGGTAAAAATTAAAAAAAAAGCAGACCCATTATCTGATTCTAAAATAAACTTGTTTAAAAAGATATGGGGTGGTGGATATTCATTCAATTGAGGTTTATCGTTTTTTGGCACGTTCTATTTGCAACTCTAACCCGACCAATTCTTAGCTAATATAAACCCACATCACTTCACTCCCCCATTCTTCTTCTGCAATTTATCCATCCTCTCCATCCTCCCCGCGTTATTACCCCCCCCTTTTTCCATATCAGCCATTCGTCGATCCCATCCTTCCTCTCGCCGCCATTCATCTTCTCGACTCTCTTCTTTTTCGCTTGCCTTCCTTCAATCTTGATATTCCCCTTCCCTGAATTCATTCCTTCCTACCTTCGTCTTTTCCCTCTTCCCTCCTTCCTGTCTTTTCATTCTCATCTCCTGCTCTCCTTTCATTCTTGCCTTACTCTCCATCATCTTCTACCTCCAATTCGTTCATTTCCTTCTCCTCTCTCTCTCTCTCTCTTCCGCTCTACATCCTTCAACCACTCCTTCTCATCCCTTTTTTTTCCTCCCCTCTTTCCCCTGACTTTTATTTCTTTCCTTCCCGCTCGTCCTTTTCCTCGTTTCAATTCCTTACTTTGTCACTCTTGCTCTGTTTATATTCCTTATTTCTAACTTCCCATTTCCTTTCGCCGTCGGAAGCGAAATTTGCTTTGCATTGAGACAATTGCATGTAAAATAATTTCAGGAAAAAAAAAACATGTTAGCCATTTAATTCCCCGAGAGGATGTTTAAAATTGCTGATTTGCAATAATGATAAAAATCCCTTTGTTTTAACCAACAATTTAGTAATCTTTTAAATGCAAGAAATGTTCATAATTCTTTCTCTTTTTTAAATCTCTTCGTCGTCTTTCATACCCAAAGATGTAATTAGTTAGCACAAATAAAACACTTAAACTCAAAACCAGAAATACGTTACATTTCTTAGATACATTATGTAGAAAGAAGGCTTGTAAAATATAACACTTACAGGACATATTAAAAGAAAAAGACTGTGGAAAACTAATTGGTTTGATTTCTACTGCTTATCAGCCATTGGCTCAAGGCAAGAAAATATTGGTAAGAGTTTCTTTTTTAGATTTTAATGGTTTAGTGATACAAGACTTACTAATTAACTCAGAACTAGGGGAGGGGCGAACAGATAGATTCATGCCTTTCTCAAATAAGGGAAGGGAATATAACGAACACAATAGGAATTGGAACTCAAATCTTTGATTAACAATTCCATTGAACCATACAAACCTCCAAGCTTACAGAACTTAGTATTCTCAAGAGGTTGCTCATTTAAGTACTGATTAGGCTCGATGTTGCTTATCTTCGTTTAGGGCACATAATATTATTGCCAATAACAACCATCTCCTCCACCGTAACGGACTTCAACGTGTCCCATTTCCGAGCCATTATCATTTGCACCATCTAAGCTTACAGTACTTGGTATTCCGAAGCGTTCACTCATCGAACTACTAACCAGATTTGATGTTACTTACCTTTGATGATCGCACGGGAACCGGTGTTTCAACGTGATGTGGCCATAAGCCCAGGAATCAATAAGTAACCTACCTAATGAGTTTGGGTTTAAGGGGTGGCAGTGTGGGGCAAAAAGGATGATAATAAAGTATCAAAATTTGCTTAGCCCAACAAGAGAAAGCTGTGGAGATTCATAATCATCCACGTCCTGATGGGATACGACATATACAAAAACAAATAAAATAGTGATGATCATTAAGGACGATAGCTTTCAAATATCATCGTGCTCTAATTGAATCTTTTTGCATTATGGAAGCCCTGAATGCAACTTGTTTTAATTCGGTTATCGCAATTGTTATGAGTGAACTCATGGTATGGGTTATCGTCTTAGGATGGTTGGTATATAAAAAAATAACAAGTGTTTTTAAAAGCCAATTGTCCATTCTTCCTGAAAAATCCCTTCATTTAAAAATGAAATCGAAATAAAAACAATCTTGTAAAATTATTTCCTGCTTTTTTCCCCATGCATATGGCGGGACACCAACGGCAGATTTGCAGTTATAGAGTAAGATGGTTATCTCAGTAGTTGAGGGAACGGCCGCTATATATATATATATATATATATATATATATATATATATATATATATATATATATATATTATTTAGATTTTCCAGTGCTCATACATTTTCCCTTTTACGGGGAGTAAGGAAGAAAAAAACCTGTCCACACTGCCCATTGCCTCAAACGCATTCGGCCACCGTCTTAGCCATTTTTCTTAGTTGTTATAGAGTTATTAGTTTTCTTTCATGTTTTGCTTGTTTATCTCTCTCTCTCTGTATATATATATATATATATATATATATATATAGTTTATGACAAATTAGGTAATCCATATGGGTAAACCTAAGGAGGATAAAATCCAGAGAGCTCAATGTAAATCCAGAGCAATTAATTTAAATAAAAAACAGACCATTTTAAGGTTCCATGTAATAAATTATTTCACCACAGCCCTTTTAAAAGGACTGCGGATCATCAGACTTTACTTCCAAAGAAAAAAATGAAAAGTAAATTTACACTTTTTTGACGGGCCGTATTAAACATATGTAAATTAACGAAATGAGGTAGTGATTGGGGTGGGGAGAGAAGACATGAGTGAGTTAGCAGACATTGACACATTTAAACGGCCACTATTTATATATATATATATATATATATATATATATATATATATATATATATATATATATATATATATATATATATATATATATATATTCTTTTTCAGCCACTTTCTTAGGCATTTTCAAGTGAGAGTTGTTTTAGAATTGTTAGTTGCTTTTTCATGTTTTGACTGTTTATCTATCTCCTCTCTCTCTCTCTCTCTCTCTCTCTATCTATCTATCTATCTATCTATATACATACATACATACTTTTACATGAAGAAAAATTTGGAAAAAACAAACAAAAATCCTTAAATGCAATTATGCTGTTTAAAATGAATGAAATGTCGACGTCTGACGTTTCGGTTTAATAAACCTTCTTCAGGACAATATTCATTAAAATACAATTCAGTTCAATTTGACAAAGACGATGGACATAAAAACAAGTCTTATCCAAAACAGATAACTGAAAATTTTTAAAATGATCAGCTTTCCGTTTAGCATGGTCACGTTGTCGTCACATGGGCGACGCTTTCAAAACGTATTCCTAAAAATCTTTGATTATTTTGAATGAAAAAGAAAATGAAAAGAATTCTATTAGTATCTAAAAATTTTATGTGTATGCTTGTCGAGCATTAATCTCGCTAAAAAGGAAATCTGTCGGATCTATATCCATTTACATTTGCTTACATACTTTTATATATATATATATATATATATATATATATATATATATATATAGTATGTATGTATATATATATATATATATATATATATATATATATATATATATATATATATATATAGCGCTTTCGGCCACTTTCTTAGGCATTTTTCAAGTGGGAATTTTTGGGTGTTCTTAGTTTCTTTTCATGATTCAATAAATTATTTGTATCTTAGTACGCAGATGTTAGCCAGGTGACAGAAGTTGAAACGTCTCACCAATAAGCCATGGTTTTATACATTCTTAATGGGAGCTGTTTGACGAACTGTCATCTGATATGAAAATTTATTCGAAGCAAGGGTGTGATAATGAAATATTCCTTGCGAAGACATTACATCTACAATTTCAATTCATGCCCTCGAAAAAGGGATTCGAACCTACGGTGGTTAATGCGTTGCAACAGTGGTGAGAGCAATGTTTCCGAGCGGCCCTATAGATCTGCCATTCTCTTAGAATGAAGAAAACGACGGTAACTGGGGAAGCATGTAGAAAATTAATATTTGTTTGTAGGCGGACATTCTTTTCTAATCCAACGGATCGTCCTGTCAATCAATCAATCAATCAATCAGTCTGTCTGTCTGTCTGTCTGTCTATCTATCTATCTATCTATCTATCTATCTATCTCAGCCTGTTCATTATCTATCTAGCTCGCTAGCTGTCTGTCTCTCTGTCTATCTATCTATCCCAGTTTGTTCAGATTGATCTATCTAGCTAGCCAACTAAAAACATCCCCCAGCATCATTTTTCCAACTTAACGCTACTTTTACTTGACCGTATGTCTGCAATACGCGCCAAAATGGTTACAATTATAAAAACGATAAAGATAGATACTTAGATATGAACAGAGAGCGACAGACGGATAATTAAAGAAGATAGATAGATAGATAGATAGATAGATAGATAGATAGATAGATATGAACAGACTGACATCGCTCTATCGGTAGATTAATTTCTGACCATTCCTTCCTTATTCTCACCAGTATTTGTGCTTGCTTGTTTGTGAGTGTGTGTGCTGTCCGCCTGCATTTACTTTTCTCCTTGTATTTTTTTTTCTATTTCATGGAAAACCTTATTAACTTTCCTCACTAATTCAATTCAGTTATTACTTATATTACCTACGTTTTTTTCTCTTTTATTTGAAAAAAGACTTTTTCGTCCTACTAAAAATATACCTGTCTATAGGAGGACTACGATCTTTCGCTTTGTGTAAAACAAGACAACCAAAAATAAACCTTAGAATAAATTTAAAAGTAAATAAAAAAGAAGTTCCCAACACCCACAAAAATAAAAGATGATGTCATGAATATTTCAGAAATAGTTAATAACTATACATAACTTTGTTTTTACTTTTTATTGTTATTAAGATTAAGAATATGACAATTACCTACCAAATATAGCAAAAAGTAACAACTAAACAGTATATATATATATATATATATATATATATATATATATATATATATATATATAGAACACATATTTTAAATCAATTAATTTATAATATTAATGCTCTGTAAATTTACATTGAGCACTATTTTGTAAAAATAAAAATATCTATAAGAACACCGGATTATATATCTTACTGTTC